AGTCCTTTGGGGTTGATAGTGGAGAATCTCTGTTACCAACCCTGTAATTTGCACTGATAACTATACTGTAGTTGCTGGTTTTCAAGTTTATTACAATGTTGTATTGGGATCAGTGGTTTTTTCTAAATAAAACGGCTGGTTGTGTGGGGTCTTGCATCTTACAAAATTTTAGGAAATTTTCAGCCATTTTACATCAAACTGGAATTAAAAACTGGAAAGATCAACCTTTCTTTTCACTTAGTGATGTCTTTGGTGTTTGAACAAAGCATTTATAGTGAATCTGTTGTGCAAATAATCATTCTTGTTAAGAGAGACCTTGTTACCCTTGGCACCTCCTGGGAACATCCCTAAATTTGGATGGTGAAGTAAGGCCATATTTTAAATACATCCCTGGAAGGGATGAAATGCTCAGAACTTGGCAGCGTTTCACTTCTGACGGCCTAGCTCTTAAGCCACAAACAATCTAATTGGTGGTTACAGCTTTTTCCATAAGAGCATTTTGATGAATTAAATGTTTTCTCCTACTTCTTACTCTTCTCATGTCCTCAGCGAAATTACTATATTGTGTTCACCTTGTGCCTAGCGGAGTGCCTGGTGTGTGGTAGGCAATCAGGAACCATTTGAAAACTTGAGTCCTCATTACTCAAACCTTATGATACATACCACTATCTGTGCTGACAGATCCCGAAGGTCCTTCGAGCTACAAAACATCGGAAGTGTACTGATAGGAGAACCAATTGATCGTATGAAAGGCACACTACTATATTAAAAGAATTACCTTACATTAATGTAAATTGTATTGGGTCATTTTCTTTTTATATTTTTTAGTACAGAGGAGGGGTATTTAGGTAAGAAGCCATCAGGTTCTTTATTATGGCCTGGTAGGTAAAACCACATGTTTGAATTTCTGTTGTACTCTTGTTTATAGACAGTGCCCTTTGTATAAGGAGCACTTTTTATTTTATTTTTTTAAAAATATATTTTATTGATTTTTTACAGAGAGGAAGGGAGAGAGATAGAGAGTTAGAAACATCGATGAGAGAGAAACATCGATCAGCTGCCTCCTGCACACCTCCCACTGGGGATGTGCCCGCAACCCAGGTACATGCCCTTGACCGGAATCGAACCTGGGACCTTTCAGTCCGCAGACCGACGCTCTATCTACTGAGCCAAACCGGTTCTGGCATAAGGAGCACTTTTTAAATGCTGCCCAAATTTGAGTATTAGAGTACTGTACTTGCTTGGCTAGCAGTTTTGGCTTTTGTTGGTGACTCATTGGAACCTTTAGGAAACCCAAACCAATTATGGATATCAGAAACTGCCTGATCTAGAAAGAGTTAGGACTTATGGATGAAGAGGGTGTGGTAAAAAGTATTAGCTGTAACAGAAAAGATTGATAGATGTCAGAAATTGCCTGCCATTCTGTTCGTCCCTACATCTTCAACTTGATGATAAATTTCTCAGATAAGAATTGATCTGAATTGCTTGGCTTGATATAGGATACTTATTTATAGTATTTATTTTGTGTTAAACATTATACCGAGTGCTTCCCATGGGTCTTTTCATGTAATCCTCAGAAGAAGCCTAGCTTTAAGTCTGTTTTAAACTGTGGTGTAGATAAGTTCAGCGACTTGCTCAGGTTACACAGCTTGCAAATGGGAGAGCCAGAATATGAACCCAGAAAGAATTCATAGGGACTTACTCCAGAGCCCTCCCTCATTTTCCTTATCTGTAAATTTTAAGTAATACAACTTCTTCCTTACACAATTGTGACTATTAATTGAGACAGTGCAGTAAAGTATCAATGGCAATGCTAGTAGGTGCTCAATAACTGATAACTGTATTCGTATTGATTTCTCTTAATAACTATCAATGCTAAGAAGATACTTAGTATTTTTCATTTTACGCTCTGCTGTGCTTTCTTTACTAAACCAATCAAAAAGTTTGAAGGGGTAAAAAAAGAGGTAGCAGGGATAGGGAGAGAATTGCCATATTGGCCCCTATCGGCTAGCCGTCATATCAGTGAATCTTGAAGTATTTTCACATGTAAAAAGGGGGAAATCAAGCAGTGTCTTGAGGAAGTGGGACTGTACTTCATGTTTGCCATTCTTCCCTATTTTCCTTCTCACCCTGTCTATATTCAATAGACAAGCTCCCTTTGGTATCTATATAGTTGGGTAGCCTTAAGCTTTTCTTTTTAGTGGCAACTCCAAATGCTATTAAAATTCAAACTTTCAGTTATCTTAAGTGTGGAATTATAAAATTCAAAGTAATTCATAAGCTGTGTATTTTAAGCTGCGCAAAACAGAAAAGTTAGATGTTTTTATGTAATTCTACAGTTTTTCAGTGATTTGGGAAGAATGAAAAATTAAAAGTCTGCATGGGGGACAAGTGTTAGGAACCCTATTGTTACCAAGGGAATTACATGCTTTACTCATGCATTTTTCTCATTGGTACTTTTATTGGGTTAAAACTTTAGAAATTGTTCTTTATCATTTTAGTTGTTTCTTTTGGTTATTTTGTTTTTACTATTTCTTAGCTAAGGACAGGAAGCATCCATAGTTTCACTTTTTGAAAGTTAGGTTTGCATGAAATCCAGGAAAAAAAATTTACATACTTATTTCTAAATCTTTTCAAAATAAATCACATATTTTTTCTAAAGCTTTAAAAGTTTGAATCTAAAATTTAAAACAACCCTTTTCAAAAGAGCCCTTTGTTGAATTTAGGTGCAATAACATTTCCTAATTTTTACTCTTATTTAAACATTTTTATTTTTCTACAAGTTGGACTTTGTTTCTTTAGCCACCTCTGTCACACCAGATGTGCTAGATAAAAAAAACACCCACGAGTAAACTTGCTTCCTCCCCACCTAGAGAAAGCACCTGTGAGCAGGCAGCCACAATACGTGTCACAGGAGTGCTATTACTGCTCTGTGAAACATGATCAAAATCCTTGTTTGTCCCAGCCTTCAGATTTTCACATCTTCACGTGCTCTTCATTAAGTAGCCTTTTACCATCTTTCCTTATCAATGAAGCAAAAGCTTTGGGCTCTCTGTGTGTATGTGGTTGGGAGAGGTGCTTAATTTAATGAACTAAATCGGACAGAAAACAGTATCTTCTAAACATTTTCTAGGAATGCTGTGCATTGCCCTAAGCCCTGTGTTCCAGCCCTGACTAAGCAACGAGGGAGAGACCAATAACTCAACTTCAAAGTGAATCAGATTTTTTAAAATTACTTTTGGGGTTAATGAATCACTTCCAGGAGAAATAGAAGGGGAAACAGAAATTTGGGGTAGTGTCTCCCAAATCTGTCAGAGGGTTCCCCTCTTCTCTCTCCCGCACTCCATCTTATACTGATTGCACGGTCTCCTCTTTGCTGGACAAGAAGTTCAAGTCCCCCAGGCACAGGCTGTGACCTCCAGTGGCGGCCTCGGCGGACACCCGGAACGTCACCTGGGCCGCGTTTCCTCGCCTGCCTGCCTGCCTGCCTGCCTGCCGCGGTTTCCTGCACGCCCGGCGGCCGCTCGGCGGCGGCGGCCCATTCATGCTTTTGACAGCTGCGTGGCCGCCGGGAGCGGCGGGTTCCGTGAGTCAGCAGCGAAGCCCGGAACTAGATGCCGATCGTAGGGGCCAAGGGGACTAGATCCGTGATCCCCGCGACTGGGGTCGGCTTAAGCTGCCGGAGGGTGGAGTGGTTCTCACAAGA